AGGTGCTGATGCAGGGGGACCAAGCCTGCTCTGCCCGGGCTGGGTGGGCAGGCAGTGCTGATGGATCCAGGCTCCTTGGCTGGGATGGGTGTTGGGGTGGCGTGTTTGTGAGCCTCAGTTTTCCAAGAGCCTCTCGAATTTGGGATTGATGAAGGAGAAGCCAGAGAATGCTGTTTGGTCCATGGAGTCAATGAGGTTCTTGTCGCTGTAGGAGAGGCGCGGCTTCTCATTCAGGAAATCCTGGTCGAAGTTGCTGTAGTCTCCAGGGGACTTCTGTAGGCACAAGGTAGGGTGGGTGAGCGGGGCCCAAGGGGCAGCCTTCCAAGGTTCCCACACACCTCGGACACCGTCGGGCTGGGCAGGCCAGAGCTGTCCTTCGCAGGACCAGAAAAGGGAGTCTTTCCCGCCAGCCTGAGAGGCCCAGCCAGAAGTGGCCGCTGTTTCCCAGGGCAAGGGAAGCCAGCAGGGAGCCTGCGCCCGGGCCAGGAAAGGGCAGCATGTCCTGAGCAGCGTCTGGCAAACTGCAGCCCAGGGGCCAGGCCCCGTCTGCCACCTGTCTCTCAGCTCGTGTTAGTCCCACAAGCTAAGACTGGCTTTTATATTTTTCAATGTCTAGGAAAAAACCAAAAGCAGAATAATATTTCATGACATGAAAATGAAATGAAATTCACATGTCAATGTGCATAAAGCTTTTTGCTTTTAAAAAATATGTTTTTATTGATTTGAGAGAGAGGGGAAGGGAGAGGGAGAAAGAGAGAAACATCGATGCATCAACATCAATCAGCTGCCTACTGCACACCCCCTTCTGGGGATTGAGCCCGCAATCTGGGCATGTGCCCTGAATGGGAATCGAATCCAGGACCTCTTAGTACATGAGTCAATGCTCAACAACTGAGCCACACCGGCCGGGCAATAAAGTTTTATTAGTACATGACCACACCCACTCATCGACATATCACCTATGGCTGCTTTGAAACCATCTGGCCCGCAAAGCCTAGAGCAGCGGTCACCAACCTTTCAGACCTCACGGGCCGCCAGTGGTCCGCGGCCCACCGGTTGGCGACCACTGGCCCAGAGTATTAACTATGGGGCTGTTCACAGGAAAAGCTCGCCAGTTCTGCCTCTGAGGACACAGTGAAATGGTGACAGAGATCTTAAGCTGGTGGCCTCAGGCCAAACCGAGCTGGCAGCAAGTACATCATTTTGACTAGCAGTGGGTTTTAACGGCCTTTGAGCCAATATTTTTAAATTGGGCAATTTGACATAAAAACCCAGATTTCTGGTCTTTTGGGCCCATTTCCGGGCCCATCCTCTCCTGGCGCTGAGGCCTGCTTGGGCCACTCGCCACAGGCCCACCCTTTCCACTGACGAGCTGTCAATTGGCACCCCGCCTGAAATCTGTAGGCCCGTCTCTCTTTCTGTCACAGCGGGTCTGAGAGCAGGCTGCTGGTTCTCCCGCAGCCGGCCTCGCCTGGGAGCGACGTGCCCAGCCCAGGAGGCACCAAGTTTGAGCAGTAAGTGCTCTGCGACCTCCAGGCACAATGATGGACACATCACCTCACACAGGCTGTCCAGCGGGACAGCGCGTCCTGACGGAGGAGGGGACGCAGAGAGAAAAGGAGTGGGAAGGTGGAACTGTGACCAGAGAAGGGCCATTGAGTCCGACTCCCGAGGGGCTCGGGGTGCTCAGAATTCTGGCCCCAGCCTTTCTCCGCTCTCCTGCTGGCTCCTTGGTGGCCTCTGCGGATTCAGGGCCTTCGTGTGAATCACCCCTCCTCTACCTGAAACGCCTCCCAGATACCCCCCCAGTCCCACTTCCTCTCAGATGCACGCCTTCTATGCATTCTGGGCTCCTGTTGACAGACCCCGCCTGATGACAGCTGATCACGTGTGGCCTTGTAACAGCTCTTAGCTCTTGTCCTGTTGTGTCATATCAGGAATGGTCATCTGTGTTCCAGTTTCTTATCTCTGTGGAGCTGGGCCTCCTCCAGCTCTGGGACTGGGCCTCCCACTTTGCTGAGCAGCTCAGCACCATCTGCACCCAACAGGCACTCAGCGTTTCCAGTATTGATTGGAAATGGATTGGATGGATAGAGGGACGGAGGAAAGGAAGCCTTAACCCTGATTCCCCTGCACACAGCGGCACTAAAAAATGTAGGTAAAGGAAGGGCTGGATCCAGAGTTTCCAGTGTTTGTTGAATGACTGAGTGAGGGAGAGAGGGTGAGGCTATCAGGGTAGAGGCTGTGACTGAATGTGCCAGGGAGGACGGGGAAGCAGGTTTGCTGGAAGGAGAGGGAGGAGAAAGCAGGTGAATGACACAGGAGAGAGGAGGGCAAACGAGGTGCCCACCCGGAAGGCAGCGGGCAACACGGAGCACATGGCCCCTACGGAAGGAAGCTGGGTCACGTACCACTTTGGGCTTGAAGGGCGGCTCCACCTGACGCTTCTCCAGCAGGGTCCAGTTGATGGTCTTGAAGAAGGGGTGGGTTTTGATGTTCCCAGTCACTCCCAGCCTCTTGGCTGGGTCTCTTTCAAGCAGCTGCAACCCAGCAAGGGCCCCGGTTAGCACCCAAGAGCGGTAGGGAATTGGACCCTCAGCACACACCCAAGCAGACCCAGGGCACCCGGCAGCGTGGCTCAGCCCAGTGCTGCTGCCCAGGCCACTGGAGCTGAGGGTATTGTCTCTGGCTCCCAGGTCCCCCCAAGACCACAGGCTGTGGATGGGGGCTGCCGGGACTTGAGTAAAAGCAGGGGCTGTTTACTGAGTGTTTGCTGTCTGCCTGGCACAGACCGGAGCATCACACATTTATGATTTCTTCCAACAACTCGGGTTCCTGCATAGCTCCATTGTGCAGATAAGGAGACAGACTGAGCGTTTAGCCTCAGGTCTGTCTCCTGACCTAACTCACAGTCACCATGACAGGCCGATTCAGTGCCGGCTACTCAGACAGGAGCTCCGGCGAATGCGACGAGAGAGCAACCCCCGACACGTCAGGACCGGAGCGTCAGTGAGGCTCCTGGCATTCCCATGACCCCATATTTACCGGTTCCTGCCCCGAGCCAGCCTCGCCCAGGCCTCCCACCTTCTCTAGGATATCCTTGGACTCCTTGGTGATCCAGCGGGGATAATGCGGCGTGTCCACACGGATGGACTCGAAAAGCTCGTCCTCATCGTCACCGTGGAAGGGGGACTGGCCAATGAGCATCTCGTAGAGCAGGACTCCGAAGGACCACCAGTCCACGGAGAAGGAGTACTTCAGGCCCTGCAGGATCTGGGCAGGAGAAGGTGCGGGAGCTGAGGGGTGGGAGCAGGAGCCCGGCCAGGCCTCCTCACCCTCCTGGCTGGTGCAGACATCATCATCTCAGGGAGGCCCTCCTGGCTCCCCCTGTTGAGATGAGGTGTCTGGGCTGAAGGCTGGGCGGGTGCCAGCTCACCTCGGGGGCGATGTAGTCAGGGGTACCGCAGAAGGTGCTGGCCTTCTTATCCGAGAATATGTTCTCTTTGCACATCCCGAAGTCGGCGATCTTGATGTGGCCGTTCTGGTCCAGCATCACGTTGTCCAGCTTGAGGTCCCTGAGGGGAAAGGAGAGGGAGGGGTCATCAGGAGTCAATTCTGCTCCTGACCCAGCTCCCATTTTCAGTCCCATAAGAACCCTTCCCACGCGGACCAGGGCAGGAGGAAGAGAAAAGGCAGCAGGAGAAAAAGAGGCACCAAAATAGGTGCTGTGGGCGAGACACCCACTGTGTGTTACAGGCTGGGCACACGCCGACCTGCTTTCCCAGCCCCAAAGGAATCTCAGAGAGGCCATGTCACTGGCCCAGGGTCGCCTCACTGGTTGCCGTGGAAGTGGCCCTGGGTTCAGCTCTGTGTGACTCCACAAGGGCAGGGACCGTATCTACTTTACGTAGTTGGTTGTTTGAATAATTTATGCACATGGTAACAAGTACCAGAAAAAGGTGACCAGCACATACAGTCCACCCTCCACTCACCTTGATGGCCAGGCCCACCCTAGAGTGAGTCTAGGTATGGCCAAAGCTCATAATAAACCCTCACTGGTTTGGCTCAGTGGATAGAGCGTTGGCCTGAGGACTGAAAGGTCCTGGGTTAGATTCCAGTCAAGGGCACATGGCCGGGTTGTGGGCTCGATCCCCAAAAGGGGGCATATAGGAGGCAGCCAATCAATGATTCTCTCATCATTGATGTTTCTGTCTCTCCCTCTCTCTTCCTCTCTGAAATCAATAAAAACATATATTTTAAAAAAAAGCTCATTATAATACCCATCTTACCTCACCTTTTAAAACGTGAGCCCTAATATGCAATATACACTGTCCCATGGCTGGCTATCCACCTGACAACCTATCCTGACTTCACCCCACATTAGGGCACAGAGCATGGCCGAGACAGAGAGACACCAGTGTGCGAGAGACATATCGATTGGTTGCCTCCTGCTCGTGCCCCGACTGGGGCCGGGGATCAAACCTGCAACCAAGGTACATGCCCTTGACTGGGAATCAACCCGGGACCCTTTTGTCCTCGGGCCGGTGCTCTCACCACTGAGCCACCGACCCGGCGGCCTCAGCCGTTGATGAGTGCACAGTAATCTGCTGTCGGATAGGATCGTATTCATTGGGTGGGAATTTGTGGAACCAGTTCCTATTGGTGGAAGCTGAGAGTGCTCCGATGGCTTCAGCACCGAGGTGACTGCACCGAGGGAGCCACTGTGCCACTCGGTACCGGGCTCCCGCCAATGGGCCGAGTATGGAGTGGGCAGTGAGTTCCCAGCCTCTGGAGCCATGCCAGCCTCAGCTGAGGGGCCACCAGGAATCCTAGCTATGGAGCAGGAGGTTTAGGCAAATACCTAGTTAAACACTGACTCCAAGTGGAGATGGGGCCATAGCCGGGCGGACTCCACTCAGAGCGTTTCAGAGGACATGATGGGTTCAAGCTTCCCTTCCTGAAAGCTGCCCACACTCCCACACCCCCACACCCCCGCTCCCTATCACCCCGTACCTATAAATGATCCCTTTGCTGTGTAGAAACTGGAGTCCACAGATTATCTCAGCAGCATAAAACCTGGATATGAGAGAGAGACAAAGTGTTCTGGAATTTCTGCTGACCAGCCCTTGCTTCTCCCCGGTCCCTCATCCCCACCTCCAGGGGCAGGAAATGCTGCAAATAACTCCATGGACAACCTGGGCCTGATCGAGCACATCTTGTATCAGGCAAGTGGAGGCTAGCAGCCAAGGCAGGAAAGAAAATTATGAAGGAAATGCTCCAAATAAGACAATTTTCTGTAAGAATGGATGCATTTATATTGATGTACATATGTATGTACATGCATGCGCGCGCACGCGCGCACACACACACGGTTAGGGGGTGCATGCTAGCCTTGGGGTCACACCAGCTCCTGTGTTGTGCAGGATCACCGAGTGTGAGGCTGCCCTGGCTGAGGTCCAAGGAGGGGACAGGAGCCAGCATGTCTGTGCTGTGCACCCAGCCAGAGCTCACCCACCACCCAGGTGTCCCATACGGTGGGACCCGGCTACCCCCAATTTCTCCACCCAGCTCTAGCCCAGCGTGGCTTCTCCAGGGAGAGGGAACAGTGAACGGAGGGCAGACCGGCAGTGGCTCTTCCCCCGACAGGGCCCGTACTTACATGGCCCGGTACAGCTCAAAGCGGCCTTTGTCCTGGATGTGGTACATCAGGTCCCCCCCATTGAGGAACTCCATCACGAAGAACAGGTGCTCCTGGGGTGGGGAGGGGGGTGAGCAGAGGCACAGAAAGGGGAGGGCCACTGCCCTGGGGGACGTGAGAGGGGGAGACACGGCCCTGCCCAGGGAGTATGAGGCGGGGACACGACCCTGCCGTAAGGGGCTGAGTGGGAGGCTGCGGGGAGCGGTAGCTCTTGCGGCAGTGACAGTGGGAGGCCCCGCACCTTGGTCTGGAAGGTGCAGTAGAGGTGGGTGAGGAAGGGGTTCTCCCAGGCGAGCGCCAGCACCCGCTTCTCCACCATGGTGCACTCCACATCATCGTCGATCAGAACCACGTCCTTCTTGAGGGCCTTGATGGCAAAGAACTCCTTTTTGCCCTTCAGCTCCGCAAGCAGCACCTGGCGGGTGGGTGAGTGGGGCTACTGAGCAGGACAGGCCCGGGCCCAGGGCCAGGGCACCAGAGCCCCACCCGACCAGGTCCCTGGAGCTGCCTCAGGGCCACTGTCCCCTCACCTTCCCGAAGCTGCCTTTGCCCAGGACCTTGTGGAAGGTGAAGTGCTCGATTTTGCACTTGGAGCTGCCCTCCCAGATCTTGCCGTAAGTCCCAGAGTCTGCTGGAGAGATGGAGATGGCACTTCAGACTCAAGTCTCTGGCTGTGGAGTCCCCTCCCCTGGGACCCAGGGGTGGGCTGGGTAGGGGGCCTCAGAGAGGAAGGGGCTCCTTTCCCAGGGTGGTGGGAGGGAGGCCGGGTCCCATCCTGGGCCCTAGTGGGAAGTAGGGACTTTCCTGGGGAAACAGGCCCTTTACCTAGGGAAAAATTTCCCATGAGTTCTAGTTTTTTCTCAAAATTCTGGTAGATCCCAAAAGGCTCTGCAGACTCCGTCTCTGGCTTCCGAGGGGTTTTCTGGAAAAGGGGTGGCAGTTGACGGGCCAGACGGTTGGCCATACCAATGCGGGACCCCCAAGCAGTACACACACACACACACACACACTCACACACACTCACACACACTCTGCCCGCGGCACAGAGACGCCTGGGTGGTCTGGAAGGCAGTTAATTACAAACAAAAATTTTGTAAATTGGATACCACCTTCCCAACCCGTTACTCAATAGATGTTTGTGTTGTCTCCACTTGTGATTGACTCTAGAGTTTTACCTTAAAGTTTTGTGGCATCCCTTGAGCCCCACCACATCCAACACACGCAAAAAACATACACACCAAGGCTTTGTTTCAAGTGCTTCAACCTTGCACCCCCCCACCCCCAGGTTCACGCTCAAGCACAGAACTGCTGGAATAACTGATTTCTAAGGGGGTAAGCCACCTCCCTCTGCTGCCTAATCCTGGAGCTGGACCTTCCAGAAGTGGGGTCTGTGGCTCCCCAGGAGAGGGTGTGAGCCCTCATCCCCAACCCCATGGCCCTCTGTCCCGGGTTCCCACGGCGCTGCCCACCTGGGTGACTTGGTTCAACGCTTCAGCCAAGAGCTTCTGGTTGATGCCACAGAGGTTGGCAACCTTCTTCTGGCACTTATGGTGCACGTTCATGCCACAGTCTGGGGCGAGGGAGAAGCAGGCCCGTCAGGCCCCTGTCCAGGCAGGGCAGCCAGCAGGCCCAGCCAAGGGCAGGGAGGCGTGGAGGAGAGGACGGGGGGGGAGGAGGGCTTTGGTGGGGGCTGCTGGGTTTCCTGTCTTTCGAAGAAAATGTATCTAAAGCCACTTCAAATCTTTCATTATTTAAAGAAGAAAAAAATCAAAGATATGGGACCTAATTCTGACCCTTCAAAGAATGTGTGGGCCGACCTAGACAAGTCCCCTTTCCTGCAGGGATCTCCCGTTTCTCCTCTGCGTTTGGGGAGCACCTGCTCTGCAGCAGTGACTCTCTGGGTCTTACTCTACGAGCCCCATGTGACACTTGCGTTTGCAGAGCTCACAGAGGTGGGGCCTCCTGTCCAGGGGTCACACAGCAGGTAAATGGTAGAGCCAGTCGGGCCAGTGGGGAGGGCTCCCCAAGGCCTCCCCATGTGAAATCCCCCAGCGAGAGGGCAAAGGCAGCATCAGTTAAGTGGAGTTTATGGGGTCCAGTGGGTAGGCACAGCTGGGAGTATCCCCTATTCCCCCCCCCCCCTGCCCCCGCAGCCCAAGAGCTGGTGGCACGCACCTTCACACTTTAATCCCTGCTTCACCAGCCCCCACAGCAGGCTGCCACAGTGGTCACAGAAGGTGGGGCTCATGTAGTTGTAAACCTTGAACCGGTGCGGCATGTCGATGTTGAACCGTTCTTTCTGGAACTGGGGTAGAGGGATCACAGGTCAAGGGTCACAGGGCAGCTCCAGCCCCTTCCTCAACCCCTAGCTCTCCCCCAACCCCATGCATGGCAAGATGCCAATAGGACTCCACTGGGGACTGGGCAACCCTGAGATCCAAGGAAGGAACAAGAAAAATGGGGGGATGGGCGAGCCCCACAGGGAAGAGAGAGGGAGAGCCCAAGCCCTTCCCACCAGGCCAAGCCCCCCAGACCCCCAGATCCCCGCCCTGGACCCAGCCTCACTATGGTGTCCCGGCTATTGGTCGCGGTGCCGGTGCACCGGCCGATGATCTTGTCGATGCATTTCTTGTGGATGGCGGCGTTGCATTCTTGAGGAGGCGCAGGCCCAGGCGGGGGATGGGAAGGCACCGGGAAGGGCAGAGTCTGTGAGCAGGCCCAGTCCAGCCCCCTACACAAAGCCACTGTTCTCCCAACCGCCCACACCCTCACCCCACAGAGGCCTCGGCCCAGAGCTTGGTTTTTCTCTCCTCCTGCCAGCCCTCGAAGGAGGGGCTGAGAAGGATGGGGCAGGAGGATGGCCGATCTGGTGGATCTCAGAGTTTAGGAAAGGGTTTAGGAGTCCCGATGGGCAGGGAGGGGGGCAGAAGTGAGGGGCATGGGGGATTGCAGTGAGAGAACTGGAGGCAAGGGAGCCCCCTCTCCTATGCGCCAGGACAGCAAATAGCTCCTAAGCGCTCTCTCGTGCACATGCATACACGGACAGATGCACCCTAACTCAGACAGACAGACATATACACACAGCATGTGCAATCATGACAAGGCTTCTTACATAGAATGCTTACCATGTGCCAACCACACTTAAAACACAGCTCTACATATTTTATCCCTCTTGATCTCCACAATGGCACTATTATCCCTATTTTATAGATGAGAAAACTGAGGCACAGAGAGGTTAGGTAACTTTGCCTAAGGCCCTACAGCTAGGAAGTGGTACAGCCAGATTCAAACCCAGGCAGTCTGGCTCCAGAGCCTGTGTCCATAACGACTAGCCCGCACTGCCTGGTGTATGCACCCTCGTGGAGAAAGGTGTGCTCATCCGTGGGCACCGAGATGCACACACATCTAACAGAAGCACACGTGCAGCCAGGGGCGTGCTGGTCAAGGCCTGACAGCCTCTCTGGGGGAAAAGGGGCCGGATGCCCAGCAGGGGCTGAATTCTCTGTGAATTCTCCACTGTGACCTGTTTCAGGCTACCAATGTGATGTCACTGAGTGCAAAGAGTTAGGAAGAGTTACGCAGAATGGGCTTCCTGAACTGGAGCGAGCCAACTCCTGCACTCACTGAACAGAGCTATCGTTCCCACGTGCACACACTGGAGACACAGGCTCTCCTGTGACCACACCCAGGCACTGCGAGGCACACATGCACACACATGTGCATACAAACCAGATTGTGGAGACACTTACGCCTACATTTGTAGCCTTGCTTGTTGAGACCCCTGAAAGGCAAATCCCCAGGCAGGGTTAGAAGGGGGGGCTCTGGGTGTGGCCCTCCCTTCCTCCAGCCCCCTGGTGGGCACAGCCAGCCCTCACCAAACAAATTCTTTGCACACAGAACAGAAGGTAGGCTGCCCGAAGAAGGTGGCGATGAACTCGTGGTTCTTGATGTAGTGGATCTTGGCCTGTTTAATGGCTCCACGGCGGTTCATTGTTGGGAACATGGATTCGTCTTCACCCCGCAGAGACTGCTTGCAATCTGGGGGCCATGGAATGGTGAGGTCAGCCACAGCCACAGGGGACAACCCGCAGTCCCTCCCAGGTGGCCATGGACAGATCAGTGATGGGGGCTGCTTCTCTACACCTCTGTCCTGGCTCTGGCCTCTGAACCTACACCCCCAGCCCAGGTAGGGCAGGTCTTACCTCCGTCTTCCAGGAAATACTGCACAGACATCAACACCTTGGCCTGGGGTTGCAGGTCCAGCTGC